TTTTTTACAAATTTACAATTAAATCATTTCATTGCCCCTACCCCAAAACAATGAATGCCCCTTAAATGCTCAGCAAGATTCCCATTGTTTCCTGTGCTGCAATAGTTAAGGACCCGGTCACGTTTGTTGCACAATTGTTGTACAATTGTAAACTGAATTCTTGGAGTTGTGCACATTACTGGAAAGGCTGTCTTAGGTCGGAGTTAGTGATTGGCTCTGTTTCAGTCTGCTTTTGTGACTGAACCAGAACAAAAGCTTCGCTGGTTGGTAAGTTGTCATTGCTAGGATAGCCCTTCAAAAAGTAGATGTAATAGATAAACATCAGGATTAAAATATGACTGTGTCATTTTGTTAAATAAGGGTTCATAAAACATTTGGCAGTGAGATATTTCATTGTTAAGTTATTAGAGGGTCTGCCCAACCGTATGTTATCATTATAAAATATTTGTCTACTGACAATTATGGTAGAGTTTACTGTGCAGCAAACAAGCTATGCTGTGACTTTGCACGAGTGACATGCATGCTTCTCACAATATTGTAGTGCAAGACACAAGTTTCATTTCTTTACATTGGCAAACAAGTTACTAGAAGTTTGTGCAATACAAAGTGTTTTTTCTGTTCCTATAACACAGATTCTTCAACAAAACATTTAAGAACAAGAAAAGAAATCAAATCGAATTAACTTGAACATTTAGACATAAAAACAACTAACATTGAAAACTGAGAATTTTTATAATCAAGAACTATTGCAGCAATTTTTGCAAGACATTTTGAGAAGTGCTTTCCAATAAATCATAATTTGGAGAATTAAAATTTACCTCAAAATTAGTTTATTAATCCCTTTTAAAAAAAAAGAGCATTCAAAGAAAAATGAAACTTTAAACTCCTGAATAGTTTTATCAGGTTATTACATTTTTTGTAAAAAAAAAGGACTGGAAGAAATTTATTCCACCAAGAATGATAACAAAACGTGTCTGTAGCTTCCTATACATTATCATAATACAAAATGTAGCTTTTTTTCAGCAATACATTTGTTCTTAAAAGAACAATCATACTAACCCCAAGTTTTCCAGACTTAGAAACATTGGAAACATTGAAAACATTTACATATCTGACAGTAGCCTAGAAGAAATATGTGTGGTACCTACTTTGTGAAGAAAAAAGAAAGGCTTGATTGAGAAATATGCCCTATATTTGGCAGTAGTTGTGATGATGGACAAAATCATTTATCTGTAATCTACATGTATAACACAGGCTAATTTTATTAGGTTGCTTGATTTTGCCAGAAAATAATAAATGCGCCACTGTCAGGATATCTGTTTGTGAAGACAGAATACCTTCCCCTTCTTCTTACATCACTTTTACTTTAAAACATTCAAGAATCATAAAAACATCTCTGTGGGCTTAAGAAGGTTCCTAAATCATAAAATATGATCAATCCTTCAGCAGATTGTCCAGCCAACATTCCCTGATAGCATCTGCTATTAATAGTCCCTGTGAAATCAGCAGGGTCCGTTGCCATGGCAACAGACTTCTCCTCATCCTGCTCCACAGAATCGTCCTCCATCTTGTCTGAGATTCATCTCGAGAAGCAACCCGGTGACATTTGGTCAAGAAAAATAAACCAGTCGCGTATGAAACATCAGCGTCACGTCGCCGGCGCCGACTTGGCCAACGGGAAGGACACGAGGCCGTAGTCGTCGCCGTCGTCGTCCCGCCATCGCAGCCCCGTGCCGGTACAGGGGTGGGTCAGCTTGTGCGGCAGCGCCCCCCGGTTGATCTGGTAGAACTCCACCAGCTGCACCAGGTCACCGAACTTTGTCTCCCCCTCATCCAGCGAGTAAAACGTCTTGTCCTCAATTATAGTCTGGAAAATATACCACAAGGCTATTTATGAATATAAATATATTATAACAAAAAGGGCCAAACGTTAGGAATGTAGAAATATCTTTTGTACTCATTTGAATAATTATTACTACCGGTAAGTAGAAATTTTCCATTCAGTAATCTGGAAAGCACATACATGTTAAGAAATGTTGAATAAACCTGTGCCTTCCCTATATTGTACTCTCCTAATAATTTACAATATCTAGAAAAACTGCAACATGACCTAGCAATTACATTTCTCAAGTTCGTACCAACAAATGAATAACCTTGTTTTGAACATGTAAAGAAATTTCCCACATAAACACACACACAATGTCATACTCCAGGTCATGCAGAACACCACAGTTACTGTCACAGTGATAAAAGAATGTTGAAGTCTCACCACACGTATCTAGAGCAGGTACAGCGAATGCATTAAAAAGGGGCAGTTGCATGGTCAATATATACATGTACATGAATCATATCACCAATAAAGTCATTCAAATGTCAGCATAAACTTAAGTGTTGACTACAGACATAACAATGGCTGTGACAAAGAGAACTTTGACTTATGCCAACCTTATAGTCGTCTTATGCAGCTTGTACTTACGGTACAAAACTGGTGTGTGGTGCCTGTATGCAATTTATACAACTAAAACAAACAAACAAACAAGTAAAACCCACTCACCGGCTGTATCTGGTAGTGCTTGACTCTCTGGTCGTGGCAGAACGTGAGAACAAAAGTTCCCGGGAAGGTTTGACTCTCTCTTACCAGGTACAACCTGTCAACAGCAACCAATCACAGCACAGAGTCAGGAGAGGGGAAACAATTATAGTGTCAGACAAGCACAGCAAAACATACTGCACCTGTGCAAAACCCATCATGTATTGTGCATAGTATGGCAACACATTTTAAGGATGACATCCCATTTATAGTTTTCAAATGTTGTGTCAGAAAAGATATAATTGTTTGCCTCGGGCAAAATTCTGATGGAATGTTGACCAAATATCCAATGAAAAACAAGAATAACCTGGGTTTTGAGCAGGTACAGTATGTTCTGCCAATATGCTTGTACCATACTGCAGTGCCTCCTGTTGAGCATGTTTAAAACTGCAGTAGGATCCAGGTACATGTATTTGATCTTCATAATTCCAAACTGCAACAGGCCTCCTTTCTTCTATATATACAATCCAAGCAGAATGCAATTCATAACTGAATGTAAAATAATACTTTTGTAATAAATTTGTACATGAAAAGTGTGCTAAAAGAAGACAAAACAGAATTGAGAAATCCACTAAACCTATAGTAAAAAGGCCTTACTTTGGAAAATGTGTATGTTTCAGCTTTAAAAAAAATCAGGAAGACAGTTTGGTACTGACCCATCCACCATGCCCTGCATGTGCATCATGTTGTTGGCTTCGTCTCTGTTGATCCCATGGTGAAACCAAGGTTGTGTCTGATGGACACCTGTCAATCAGGAAAGACTCCATATTTGGATCATTAAGGTAACAAGAATAGTTAAATATACTTGATGTATGCTATATTCTTTGGCAATGCAGTACAGTAATCAAGGATAGCCCAAGCTCTCTTATTGCATATTGGTTATCGTTTCTTCTCATTTCCAGCAAAAGAAAAAAAATTAAATACTGCATCGTCCCGCCACTATTCAGGATCAGTTATCTTACTATTGAAATAAATCAATTTGGTTTATCCACTTTTTTTCAGAAAATCATAGCAAGGCTGAAGCAGCCCTGTTGTATCTAGGACTGTGCCCATCTAGTTCTACATGGGTACATCTGCATGTCTGAGTGGGCATACATGTACATTTGGATCTGGATACAGCCCGACTATCCAGACCTGTGCCTGGAAGTGTTGTTAATCATGGTGATGATAGGACTGTAGTATAATTATTCATGCCCACGTTTCCATATATCATTTGAGCCTGGTCCTGGATAAGCACAGTATTGTATCCAGAACCGTGCTTTATCCAGAATCATTCCCAGGCACAGTTCTGGGTACCACAAACCTGCGTTCATCATCCTCACCTTGAGAAGACAGAAATCTGGAGGATCGTGGTGACAGCAACGGACTGTTACGGGGACTTCCCACCAGGGCTCTGGAACCACTCGAGTGTCTTTTCTGTGGAAGGACAGAACTCAGTAAGGATGTTTGGAAAACTTAACTCAGGGAAGCTGCAGGATATTTCTGCCCATTTTTACCTACCGCTAGTCACATAATCAAGCTTTGAAAATTGGTTTCAGCATAAATTTTCAAACACTTAAAATTTGCACTGCAATTGTGACAGGCTAATTATCAGGTTTCTAGAGGAACATGACCATTATGTTCTTTACCTTCAGTCCATTTCCTGTCCTCTTTCTTGCACAAATCTTTTGTTCTTCATAATCTTGCAAATATACGTTTAATCTCACCCCTGTGCTGGTTCCTTACCCACCGGAACTTGTGCAATGGCCAAGTGAGTTAAGAGTGCTCGCCTTGCATTTGGTAGGTGTATCGCTGTAGGTCTGTAGGCCTTTGGTCATCGGGCAATCCGACCAACGGTCGAGCTGGTACCTCAGGTGATACAGAAAACTCTGTGTAGTATTCTAAGTATCTTCACTAACTAAGTTTCACAGTTTCACTAACTTACCCTCCAGGACTGCCCCTCCTCCACTGCTACAGCCACTGCCTCGTTAGGGTTGGCGATGACTCGGCCTCGGTAACCGGTGAAGTCCATCGCCACACGATTCTTCCCACCTGGACCCTGCGGACTTCTCTGTAAAACAGCGTAACACAAAACATGTAAGAACTGGGGATGAAGTAATTCTACTAGACTGTGAAGTACTGCAAATGCAGGGTATAACCATGTTTTTCTTCCACGACTCCACTGCTAGTCTGGTTACCAAACCTATTTCAGCTGCCCAAGTCTCTTTCTCCTCTCTCTTAGATTTGTGGAGACTCAGCAGCTAAAATAGTTTGGTAAGCAGGCTAATCCACTGCAGCCTCCCTTTGTGTCCATAGATTTCAGATCCTTGAAGTTTATGGTGGTGCCTTCACATTACTCAAGAGTATGAAGGTGCTACAGTTGTATGTATGGATGAATTTGTAATGGTTACTGAGGAGTCATGAATGTGGAATGGTAAAGGTGATGTTCATGTACACAAAGTCAGGGCTCTCTCTACTTTCATTCCTGATCAGAATTTTTCCACTTGGGACCAAGAAAAAAAGCGTCTTGTCCCCCCTTGACGGGCATAAAATGGAAAACTTCATAACAGGTTGTCAACAGCTATGCAACAAAAATATCTTCAAAATCTAATATGAAGTCGACGGACATTTAGATGCTAAAAATAATTTCTTAATTGTACCAGTTTATTTTATCCTTCTACTAAGTTCTAGATTCTGAGTGCCTTTGGTCCTACAAAATGTTCATTCCATCAAACTTAGGGGTTGAAGAAAAATCTCGAGTTGGAGAGAGTATAAAACTTTTTATGACAAAGAATTTGAGTGACACCAACACACGACAGTATTATAGTAAGTACACAGCTGAGGAAGCTTTTTAACACATGTAATTGTATGGGTTTAAAGGTTAGATAGCAAGGATAAGCTAAATTAATTTTCTAGTGTTAGCCCAGATCTTTGCCTGACAGTGTGTAAATTTTGACAGGGCATTCTTAAAACAAAATTGGTTGACAAAAAGAAAAAAAAAATGCTGACAATGTGTTATTTACAGGGACCATCCAATGATGTCGACAAAGAACGTTCGGATCCGCATTTGGTAACATTTATGACTTGCTATGCAGAATGGCCACCTTCTATGTTGCTTGATCAGTGAGGATACCAGTATATAAAATGGAGACCCCAAACTTCTTGAGAAAAGCTGAAAGGAACACTTCAGCCACGTGCATACTCACCGCCCATTCTTCCTTGGCCTGGCTTTCCTGCATCAACACACGCTGGCGATAGCTGCCCAGGTTCCACTCCTTGGAGAAAGACCAGGATGGCAACATTTGGAAATCTGCTCAAGTTCGTCTATCATTTGCTAACGCCATGAAATTCTGATAAATTTGTATGCCAAAACCAGCTTTCGGGTACGTCCCTATGTTTTAACACCCCTATGTTCTGACAACCCTATGTTTCAATGACTTTATATTCTTACACCCCTATGTTCCGACACCCCAATATGTTCTGACACCCTGCCATGCATGTTCTGACACCCCTAAATGTATGTTCCACAAACCCTAACCCTATGTCGTAACATAGAGATGTTGGACCATAACATAGTTGGAACAAAACATGCTGTTAGTAATTCAACTGCAAAATTTTCTTGCATGCAAAAAGTTCTCCTACTGTGACTAAATAAGTTTTTAAGTATTAGTGATATTTTTCAAAAATTAATGTTTGGTGTTCAACACCAGAATTTAATCCACCTTAGAATCAACATCCAATTCATGATAAATCCTGATTGTTAGTATCACTGGATGGTCCCGAATTAGTGCAAATTACTGGCAAACTCAAACATAACGGATGTGAGATGATATGGTGATGATTGTGAGTATGGGTGGGGGGTGACATGTACAGAGGAGAGCCAACCTGTGGTAAGGTGCAACGACTAGGTCTCCACACTTGGTCAGGGGTGGACTATAACACAAAGTACGCCACAAAAAGGGAAGGTTTACAAACTACAGGATGGTGCAGTTCTTACAGGCATGCAGTGCTTGAATTTGTTAACTCATAAGTTTGAATTCTATACATTGTCAACTGAATATATATACCGTCATTTAGCTATAGCAAATCTATGCATCTAAAACATGAAAATGGAAGATTCTGATGTCAAATCCACATCAGTCTGCAAAAGAAAGCAGCGGATAATCATCTAAAATTAGCTAGGATATCAAGGATCTTAATGTATTGCACAGTGATTTAGCAAGCCTGAAATCATTTTCCATCATTTCAGTTTTGTTTGACCTAACACTATGTCGAGTGGCAGAGGCAAAATTTTTGTCTGTCATGAGTGGCAAAATTCTGTCAAATGATGGAAAGACAGACGCTGGCTAGAACACTGATTGTACAACTGAAAAAAATCAATGTAGTACATGTTGTATTTTGTTTCCATTCTTGAAAGATTCACAGCTGGTTTCACTCACAGGTGAGATGATGGGACTGGGACAGCCCTCATCTGAAAACTTCCAGGATTTCTTCGATAACTCGTAGTTCTTGTACAGCAGCTGTCCATACTGTAACAAGAAATCAGAGATTTCAGACCTAGCATTTTAGGTTTTCATCTATGTATGTATGACATACTCTAATCAGGACTAGGACTGTGCATGCTAGAAACTGTGCATGGTTGGAGAGCAGTCATATACTGTCAACTTCCAGACAAACATACACACAAACTCACAGACAACCCACCCCAGACAATACAGATGAAGTAAAAATTTCTTCTGACACTAATATCAGTATTGCACTAGGTAGACTTCACAGAGTATTATTAATATCTGAGACCTTTAATGGATCAAATGTCATATAAAACTGTCTCAGCCATAATTACCTTGGATATTCTGAAGGCTGTCAGCCAGCACTGTCTTGTTCTCTCATCTTCTGCACACAGACATTTGATGTCATGCTTTTCCACATTTTGTCTGGAGGGCTGTAGAAGCAGAGATAGGAAATATATATAGTTTTTTTTCCACAACCATAGAGTGGAACTTGTTGCCACTAAGTATAGTAGAGTCATCATCACTAGACATCTTTTAACAAAACTTACAGTTAGAAGTGCAAGGGTTAGGTGTGACAATTCGTTTGGTTTAATATAACTAGCTGCTGTCATACCACGTGCCTGCAAAGCTGGTGTGTTATGCCGAAGGGCAGTTACATGTAAATGTATACCCGTAAATTGTTTCCACACTTTAAGCAATGTTAAATGCCCCCTCACCCCCCCCCCCTACAAAACGGGATAAGAATGCAAAGAAGAGAAAAAGATTACCTTGATACAGAAGCAGAACTCTGTTGGCGCCCCAAAGACCTTCTTCCCCTGTGTGGCTGTGTAGATGTCACAGTCGGAGTACGCACTGAAGCAGTGCAAGTGGCGAGGCTCCTGTGTGAAAAATGGGAACATCAAGAGACGTACAGATCTCACTTTTTTCAAAGGTCCCATAATTTTAGAAAGAAACCTTCATTTGTTGAAATATAGCATCCTTTCAAGTCTGTTCAAACTCATGCAAATGTCACCAAAGTATGTAGATGCTGCAGTTTGATACAAATTTACAAGAGAGCGAAAGGAATCTCGCTGCTAAACATTATTGGGTTTACATTGATGATGGTTAGAGTTAGACATCCTGATAATGAGATACACAAAAAAAACTCTTACTCAAGCAACAGGATATATTTTGAAAACTGTACATTTCACTACATTTCATCAGTGACTAACATAAAGTAGTGGATACTACCTGAAACGTCTAACAGTTTTCAAAATCTATCCAGTTGCTTGAGTAACAGTTACAGTTTTCTTGAGTACTGGGTTTATTTTCAGGACTGGTGCAGGACTTAGCTGAGGCAGTATGCATCCCTACCATACATGTGTTCAAAACTTCAATTATCATATATACGATAATCTTTCATAAGACTAGCAAGAAAACATCCTGTTGGTAAACATTATCCCTTCCAACCAAAATTTGAATGCTACTGACCATGGAATTGCCTTTTGTGGAGTAGTACAGCCCCGAGCCCTTTATCACCACCATCACTTTTTTCCAGTTTTTCTTGTGAGCGTCTCTGACGTGAAGCCACCCCTGCAGGTTGGGTACGCTCCCTGGTGTTGCTAACAAGTTCTAAGGAAAGTTTGAAATTCAACTGTCATTGTGAGGAAGGTTTAAGACTGTGATGATACCTAGATTTTCAGGTAACGTTACATGAAAAAGTATAACGGCTTGAGTCAAAATGGTTCTACATGTATAATCATAGTTAAAGTATTGTGTCTAATTAAAATACAAATATTGCCACTAATTGTCTTTTTAAAACCTTAAAAACATTTCATCATTTCTACAAGATGATATACAATCATGGCCTTAGATTGTGTAGTTAGCATTTTCTTTGAATAACTATATAATGTTTTACATTTGGAGTCCTCTAGCAGTTTGCAAAAGCTTTAATCCAAACACACGCACACAACATTGCTAACCCCTTGCATAAAATCTGTTACTAGGCATATGCATGTTGCAAAGGACATAATTATGAATCTGTATGTACATATTATGATCTACCTTGAGGTCTATCTTACCTTAGATCTATCTACATTGAGGTCTATCTAATAGACTTTATACTCACTAAAAGCTGCAGGTTTCTTGCCATTTCTGCCTTTTCTGAATGAGACCCAATTTCCTCAAAGTTTGTCACCATATCTTCAGGGAAGTATTGCTGAATATAAGGAAGTAAGATTGAAATTAATTCACTGAAAAGGCTGGTCTTATCTGTCATTCAATTCATATCATGTACAATATACAATGTCATGTAGATATACCAATCATTTCATATCATGTACAATGTAGATATACTGAGTAGATAATACATTGTAAGTTATGAGACCTACCGAAGGATTGCAGAAGACTTCGTATTTTCTGAAGTCTTTCTTGAAGACCAGCTTGTTGCTGCTGTCCCTTCCCCAGGAGTTACACACCTGTAGGACCTTCTCATGGTCCTCCAAATTTCTCTCTGCAATAATAAAAGGTATTAAATCATGAAATGAAAAATGCTGCTAATGATTCATACAATATATCAGTCTAGTGGCTAACTGTGGTTAAGTCACCTGCATTGCATGGTCTTTTATGCATGTTGGCAGAACGTACTGCACCTGAGCAAATCCCGTGAGGTATTGTGCATATTTATAAGTGGATTTTTATTTGCTACATTGACATGTACCACCTATGTAGTATGACAGTAATAACACCAATGGTTTTTGAACAGTGTCTAGTTTGATTCACACTAAGTCTTCCTAAATTATGATTTGGGCAGGTAACATTTGTCTGTTGCAGGTAATTTTCAGTGTTACCTGAACCGGAAAAGATTGTTTTGAACCCTGCATAAATAAATCTTGAACATGCATACCCAAGCCAAGAGGCACAATGTGTTCCATTAACACACAGTTCTTCTCATCGGAGCTGCGACAGCGAAGGGCGACCTCGCTGCAAACCTCTCTCGCTGTCATCTGCTCGCCGACATCCACCGCCTTGCTCGTGCCGTCACACTTGTGTATCCTGATGCTCACCTGTCAAAGACACAATAATTCTTAAAAATTTACATTCAACTACTGATCATGGCAACCACTGAAATTAATACGACACACAACAGAACACAACGCATGACAGAATGTACCAGACAAGAAGAAATGTAGGAAATGTTCAGTACCCTTTTCATCTCCCTGTAGTCTCTGTACTCGTCTCTGCGACGAGGCAACACGGGACTGGAGGTTTCTGTGGGTCTCTTTAACACGGACGAGCCCTGGTTAACACATGAAGGGACACATTATGAGGTGATTTACTACAGTTTCAGGAAGAGTACATGTAGTAGGGAGTAGTTACACCCCATGCTCTGACCCCATGCTGTCGTTCCCACGCGGCTATGTTTTGACAACTCAGCCTATGTTATGATAACCCTAACATTATGTTGAAACGTTGGGGTATCAGAAAATAGGGACGTCGAAACATAGGGGTGTAGGAACATAGTGCTATCCCTTTGACCAGTGTGCTTGCCCGAAAACATGAGCCGTACGCGTGGTGCAGCCAACATGAACTATCATATCATAAAAGAGTCACGCTTCGCCTCAGGCTTAACTTCACTGATTTACCCTTTTACCTACAGCACAATTTCAAAACACGTATTTTTAGGACTTGGTGCACTGATGACAAAACAAAAAGACGTGCATCAACATATGATCTAAACATTGTAGACATTCTAATTTTAACATAATTGATTTTGGTTCAAAATTACAAATAGCTGTTGCCAAGAGCGACTGCATGGAATGGATAATTATAAGTGGTAGTACGAAACAACACATTGCATGAATTACACTGAGCCAATAGTTTTCATTTCAATCAAACATATCCTTGCTCGCTCTGGTTGTTTTGGCCTTTTTTTAATCATCTGAACGTGCAAAAAATTTCAATTTTATCACAGACTACATTTTATTGGAAAGAATGTGTGATTCAGAAGCATACAAATGTCAGTAACTCTATAAAAGTCTTAAAATGCACCAGTGCACATATATATTTAGCCAAACATGGCATGTACCGGTCTGATTACACATGCACATACATGTGAAATGTTGAGCCCTGATTTTACAATTACACAATACCATCTTACCTGGAGCCAATGCTCCTGTACATAGCAAACATAACAAAACTTTCTGAATGCTACGTACACACATGTATACAATGTCTAAGAAAGCTCTAGTAGGATTATTGCTCTTACCTTAATGCGTGGAACAAGGGTCTTCAACTCAGTTATACATGTACATTGCATGGCTGTATACCCCGATATAGACATGATCATTTCATTTAGGAATCCTTTTGTTCATGATTAATGAAAGAAAACTTGTATCGATAACTTGCCTTTCTGGTAACGTTATGCATGATGGTAAAATCCACTGTCATTTCCTCAACATTTATGGTCTAAGAAAAGACTGCCGACCTTGTCACGTTGCCCCGTTCGTGTAACAGCTTTGTTAGAAGACTTATCTGTAGGTGTAATGGTGACCTCATGCGAAAACCTTGAAGGGAGAGCCCGGGGGCGTGCAGTGTACTCACGTGTGTCTACATGTGTGTAATGTCATAGCTTACTAAAGGTGGGGTTAAAAGAGATCAACAATGGTGGTAGGGAAGGTACGTGACCTACATGTATTATATTTGGGAGGGTAGGTGACCCAATTAAGTATGATTTGAGATAATCAAAGATCAGATCTATAAAATAATAAATAATTTGGTTCTTCCACAAAAGGATGTTTTTGGCTGTTGATGTTGTTTGTATGAACTTGACTAAAATCTATATCAGCCCCTGGGAGGAATCAGCCCCTGACAGTGAGATATTATATAACACAGGCTAGGTTGTCATGAAATGTTAGCACTAGTGCAGCCAATGCAGGCCTAGAATACATCCTTAGTTGTAGAGTCTAAACACAAGAGAAGAACTCACCATAAATCTCTTTAAAAATCATCAAATGTATGATTCACTTGTGGACTCTCCGGAAGTGTGATGACGTCAGGAGCGAATCAAAAGTGGCGGGAAGACTTCCGGAGAGTTAGCGAGTGGATCATACATCTGACGAAGGTCGACGAGATCGACCGGAAATCAATGGTGAGTTCATTTCTTGTGTTGGAACAAAAGTTTATTAACTGTACAACATGGCTTCTACCGACACAGATGAACTTTTATCTGAATATACATACATGTACATACATGTATGGCTGTGTCTGGGGCTATCATGTGGAACAGCATACCAGAGGATGCATGGTGTGCTCCATCAGTGAGAATTTTCAAACAAAGAATACGGTAGTTGAGAAATTTGAGTTGCGGACTGTGATTTTGGACAAGATGTGATTATTGTGTTAGGTATGTAGTAATTTATTTTTGTATTAATTTGAATTTTATTTACTTATCTATTGTTATCCCGTGACCACCCCCCCTCAACTGGACCTCTGGGAAGAGCGGCTAAGGCCGACAGGGCATTTCCAGTTTAAATAAAGGCTATTGATTGATTGATTGATTGATTGATACATGTATCCTGATTGAGTCCTGTGTATGACTTACTGTGTCTTTCCTTGGAGCAGAGGCAGTTCTTGGACTGGTCATCCATGATGTTGGGCTGGCTGAAACAGGGAGGTCCGGGAATGGGTTTGGGGTGGGCGGAGAGTTGATGGGGGAGGAGGAGATCCTGTGATTGGGCGAGTGGCTGTTGTTCAGGTTGATGTGGACAGGCCTGTTGGAAACACATTAATTGTTTTAGTCAAGGTTATCCTGACCTTCACACACCATAATCCTTTGGTCTTAAAATCGAAGTTAATCCTTCCAATACCTTTTGTTGTGTATTGGGCAGTGCACTAACATCAACTTAAGCATTGTGAAACTGGAGGCTAAAAATTGGGAAAGCTAGCAAAATCTTGGATCTTACTGGTACAATCTTAGTATAATTATAACAATGTGACCTTGAATGGTCCAAAATTCTGACCTTGATGGTCTAGTCTGTGACATGAAGCTGTTGTTAGGCGTGTCCCTGTCCGTTGCTAACAGCGGCGTATGTTCCTCATCAACGGGCTGCTTGTCCATGGCGTGCTCCCTTGCCTCGAAGTTCATGTCTCGAATCAGCGCATCCAGGTCAACATCATCATCTGCAAGAGAAACAGGTATTGTACAAAATGAAGACATTGCATATTTGGGATTTCAGACTTCCAGAAGGTATTGGAGAGTTCCTGATGCAATCCTCAGCTTCCTGAATTCCCCAGTTTTTTATAGATCCCGGCCAGAGCCATTTCCTGTGTCTGACCTTTTCCCCTGTCAATCCTCTCTCCATCGACATGCTGTAAACTTTCTCTGTGGACAAACAGACACACAAACCCACAGCTCAGCCACCCAAAACAATACTCCCATACCCCTAAGTAATCATCAAAATCTACAAAATGAAATTTTGTTCAAAGAATAAAAAAGACAAAATGTCTCTTTGTCATAAAAACCACAACCCTGTTTTCCTCAGCCTTTTAAATTTCTTACATCCGACTGGCCTGCTGAAATCAATGACATTCTGCATTTCTGTGATCGAGCTGTGAGAGACAAAAAGTGCCTCAGGTGGCAACGACAAGACAAAACCACCTCAGACAGATTTCTATAGAGAAACCAAACGAGACTCCAGGGACATCCCTACAAAAGACTTCCTGTTCAACCCACAGATCAGTCCTTATATGGAAATACGAGCCCCTGGCTTTCTTACTCCCCATATATGTTAGCGCTATTCCTCTTTGAATATTCCTCTAGGATGATTTCTTTTCAGAGATACACAAAGGAACGTATGCCTCAGTACATCACTCAAGACGTCCCACCAGAGTGTCTTTTATCTCCTTTCTGTCATTAAATGCGATCTGAGAACAAATTTGAAAGAAGGAACATAAAGAGCAAACCTTGAGTACCACTGCCAGTTCCAACCAGGGCAAAAGCCACGACGACTTCCAATAAGGTTTCATGTACCAAAAGGTTGCAAAAACCGCTGAATCTGCAATTTTGGTTCTTCTATACACTCTACATGTAATGTTATACTTGCATAACCATGTGCTTTGAATAGTGTCTATTCCATGGCAAGGAGAAGAAAGAAGAAAAGGAGAAAGAGAAGAAAATGAAAAGAGGAGGAGGAAAAATGGGTACACATCATAACTGAATGGATTTGCTGACTTTCCCATCCGACCTTCAGGAGACAAGTTCACAGATTAGCTGCATTGAATGAATCGAGGAGGATCATTGAGCTATATGAATTCAAATTTACCAAAAAAAATGTTGATCTACATGTATGTTCCGAACAGACTTCTTGATCAATTCATTTGGCAAAGGAGAGGGACAGAGGGACATCACACTGTCTTATTCTCACTTACACCTTAAAAAGATATTTAAGCTTAAGAAGCAACATGCCACGGCACAAGCTTACTACTCCTTTTTTTAGATTTTTTTTAAAGATTTTACAAGACGTGATGTTTCAAACATGTTTCAATAATGATATCAAATACCTTTTGCACAGATTTTCTGATTCATAGCATCAAGCTTTTATAACATTTCAAAAACGTGTGCATCATCACTTTTTTAACAGTGTGCTGTTAAAAAAATTGATCTTAAGAAAATCACGTCACCCACCTTGATGTGTTAGCGCTGCAACCTGCGTCTGCAAAAGGAGGCAGCTCGTGTGAGATAAATAGCGAGTAACAAGGTCTCCTGCTATCTCTGCTGACATCATGTAATATCATTACATCACCATGGCAACAGATCAGACCCTCACAGGCTCAGTCTAAGTAAATCTGCATCACAAATACTGCAAAGGTATGTTTTATCTTCAGGGACCCCAGGATATCAGTGGAGCATCAGTTCTGTTATAAGGCAGAACGTACTGCGCCTGCACAAAATCCAGATTTTTCACTTTTTTGCTGGATGTTTGGTCACCGTTGCATCAGAATTTTACCCATTGCAGACAATATCTTTTCCGACAAAACATAAATTTTTGAAAATGATAGACAGGATATCACCTTTACATATTGGAATACAACCTTAAACAAGATGTTCAGCCTAAGTGTTATGCACAATACAAGTCCCACAGGTGCAGTATGTTCTGCCGATGTATAAGTACATTCATAAGGATATCTGTACCTTCTGGACCTGTCCTCTTCATCTTTGTTACTTGCTAATAGTTCTCAGCAATTTTAACATATCTAGGACAGTTAGTAGTAGATTACTGGTGATTGCAATGACTCAAAACTCTGCAATTACACACAGGAGCAGATCTATTGTATTTAAGTTACTACTATTTAGGAAAATTGACAGCAATTCTACCAAATTGAGCTATATTCAAAATGATAGCATCATTCTGAAGTTGAAATTGTGCTAAACCTGATGTTTTGTAATGCATACATATATCTTTATCCAGTATGCATTACAATATGAAAGATGTAATTGTACTATGCAATACGTTGTCATTTGCAAAGATAGCCTAATATAATAGTGATACTTATATAATAGGTCATCTGCATTTGTGCAAATCTATTTCATTATCAGCCAAATTATTACTTATCATTAACTGTCCCACTTTTTGAATTAGAGTTGAAATGTCATTCTTATTTTGTTTCAGTTCCAACTTTTGTTCCACATCTTAATAATAATATGATTGTCAGTTGAATGACCAATTGCCCTACTTTTCTCAGAGCAATAACCACTTAAAATCTCTTTTCTTATTATGTTTCAGCCTCATCTTTCCTGTCGCGTGTACTGAATGGCAGTTCTAGTGGTGTACGTTTGTATTCATTGGCAATGAAACAAATCATTACAAGGGTCAGCTCAGGCAGAACAAATCTGGTAACGGCTGACCCACAAAAAGTACAGACGTAAAAGTAATACGAAAAAGTGAAGAACTGAATTAGAATCTAATATTCAGTTGGCAAAGGACAATCTTTCAATGTTGAAGGTTAACTTTCCTATAAACTTGTAGACGTCACATGTTTGGCCACATCTGTACACCAGTCGATACTGTAAATCACTTTTATATTTGCAGAACTTTTATATCCACGGTTTTCACTGTCACTTTTGTACTGCAAATTTATCATTACTGTGAACAAATAATTCCCTGACTTTCTTTCTTCTGCACCTGCCACCACAGCGAATATATAATTCCATGAACATGCCTATTTTTCTCAGACCACGAGATATTGCTACCACAAATATAAAGTGATTTACAGTACCTATAAAAAATCACACTTCCTTTACAAGGATGTCTACATGCTATTGAGACAATCATGTTTAAAAAATGGTTCAACTCACTTCCTGTAGCGGGATGTCTCCCAGGAACCCCCCCAACCCAGCGTGTCGCATCATGTTGGGTCGGCGGGTCTCCGATGTTGCCATAGCAACACGTGATGCCACGGTCTGAACTAGTCTCTTCTCAGTCAGCCTAGGAGTCACACCATAGGGCTGGAACAGAACAGGTACACTTTAGGATACTGGAGTTTTCTTTTACGTGACAACTAGCAAAGACTCTCACCTGCTTATGTTTTGATGCCTATCAGACATCTTCCTCAGAGTTTCTGACTGACAAATACTTAAAGCAACAAGAAGCATTACTCCAGTTAGAAGTTCTGAGGAAGATGTCTGATAGGCATCAAAATGTAAGCAGGTGAGAGAGAGTCTTTACTGTTCGTGTAAAAGAAAACGCCAATATCCTATGTTCTAACCCGATGAAAGTATTTTCAGAAGCAAGAACAATTCATTTTTCTGAAACTTATTTGAAGAAAATTCTGATTCCATTCTGTGTCCATTATATACTAACACAGTGAACTGACCTTTGATTGTCACAGACTGTAAATTTGCAGGGACCTAATTTCGTCGCAAGAGAGGAAATGAGTCCGTTTTTCGCTGTCTTTTAAGTTCGCAATTTGTGGTAAATGAAAGGAAATAAGAAAAGAGTTTGATCATTACCTGTTCCTGGCAACCCTGATAAATGTGTCTGGGTACAAGCAGCCCAGTAATTGACTGCCTTCAGGCTGGTTTTCCACAGAAGTGCCGCTTAATGTTCTTCTGTTAGTAGAGCTGTGTGATGCTCAATGCCTGCAGGTGCAAGAAGACAGAAATAAGGTCCGTGGCAATCTAGGGCAAATTTGGAATCAGAATATAAAAAAAATTCTAATATCACAAGAGACAATGATGTGGAGGGAAGCATGTAATTTTGAATGAAAAATTTTGATAAATGAGATATTGCTGTTACTCCTGTCCCAAGAAAAAATGGTGAATCCAGGAACAAATAAAATTGCAACAGATACATGTCGAGCCCTGATATTATATATGTGGCAGTGATTTCTATTCATTTATGGTGCTACTGCATGGTCGACCAACATGTAGTGTAATATTACTTTAGTTTATGCTTGCGAGTTACAAAACAATCGTATTGATGATGAGCTGAGTCAATGTAACCAAAATCCCTTGTTCTCTTTTTCAAGAGATGTATTGATTTGGTTGCTCACAGTGTGGGTTTCTATCTATAATATACACTTGACAATTATAGCTCACAGCATCTCATCAATGTTAAGGACAGGAAACAGGGTTCAGAACTCGGCATGTGAGAACGGCATGTGAGAATTCAAAGTATTAACCTTGCTATGTAGAAACGTGACTGCTACTGTAGTATATAGTAATAAATTGTTGGCACTACAAATCATTTAACCCTCCCCCAGCAATGGACCAATCATCTACTTCACTCTGCATCATCTATAGCAGTAGTCAGTTGAAAGAGGGTTAAAAAAATCAATTCCCGAGGGAACAAATTGGTGCAATTTTGGGAATATTTTCAGAGCCAATGTTACACTGAAAGAAATACCTACGCCCCCGAGGTGTCGCCAAAAAATAAACCGCAGCTTTTCTCAAGGGTCAAGGTGCTTAATGACAAGATGGACAGCCTGGGTCCCCTCCCAGTTCCCTGTCTTTGGTTGAACGCTGTTGAACTTTGCCTGGATGGGAGGATGTGACAGATGAGGGGTGTACAGAAAACTGCCATGTCAGTACGTTTGCTGACACAGAGGCAGCTGGTTCCCACATTAGGGCCCCGCACGTTCTGGAACCCTGCCACAAATCTGGTCTCCCAATGGTGGGGAAGATACAGCAGATGGTGACGTGTGGAACCGAACGAAAGCCAGATTTCAAATTACTAGTAGGCTGTAGAACTGAAAAGAGCTAAATATGGAAAAAAACATGTGCCTGTAGATGCACTAGTCCAAAAAAATTGAATGTTATAAAAAAGACTTTTAATTAGTATTCAAATGCTAAAGTGACTTTTAGTAAATCCACTTTACTGTGTAAATTTCTTTTTTTCTTTCTTGGAAAATATCAGGCATAGTTCTCACTAGGTTATTTGAGCGTAGGGGCCCTGTACGCTGTGACTTGGACCCCCTATGCTGTGATTTAGCCCCCTACAACCAGTGTAGGGGTGTTGGGGGGGGGGGGGAGAGAAGCCTCATAATCTTCCAAATAATAAAAATACAACTTTATTTACATAATACAACTTAAGTTGGATAAGACTCCTGAAATTAATTCCTAGCAAAAAAGACTGAGATTCGAGTGCAGTCCGAGTTGTTGACATTCACAAATACTCGTTAAAAAGAATACAGTACAATGTACAGTACGTGTAATACTCCGGCCTTGACAATTCTCCAAGGTCATTCACTCAGGTGAAACCTGACCTTCACGTGTTGGCCGCTGCCTTACACGTGACACTTGATGGGGAACTATTATGACAGCTTTTGTCAACCTACAGGCCGACAACAAAGGGGATCTTTTACAAATCAGTTTGTTTTCTCTTCAGCCGAACTGCAAACAGTGGCATTCTGATCTGACAGTTTTCCATGCTTCGGTGGGAAGCGACAACATCACTTTGTCTCCCAACAGGGTTGTGATAATAGTGTCTGGTTGGGCGAATAAAAGGAACAGACATGAATGAACACAAAAGGGGCAAGGATTACCACCTGTATTCCACAGGTAAGGTTTCTGAACACCTGTCCTAGCACAGGTGAAACAAGACACCACACACAGCTCGAGAGTAGGCATCTTCTAAGCCATTAAATAATCTAACTAAAAGATACATACTGACAGATCCTGTTGAAACATATTAATCTTTTTTTTTAAGTATGTATGTATGTATGTATGTATGTATGTAAGTCCCATAGCCTTCACGGCCGTAGGGGCATCATGACAGCCAGCAGCATGTCTGGACTTGTCACGATGACTCCTCAGGCTTATAATCTTGGCGGCGCCTATCTCCTCTCCAAGATTTGGCTGATACAGACGGGGTTCGCCAGGCCTCCGTCCGGGTGAATGATGTAAATCACCATGTGGCATATACAAGACGGAGGTCGCCAGGCCTCCGTCCGGGTGATTTGAAGTGAATCACCAACTCCATACAGTAGTGTTTGTACCATCGCACACCGGGGCATGCCCCTACTCTTTTTCGAAAGGTGTGGTGGGATCTTTAACGTGCTCGAGGTGTGGCTCTCCTCAAACACGGGACCTCCAGTTTACGTCCTATCCGAGGGACGTCCCTAGCCGAAGCTAGGTACTCATTTACACCTGAGTGAAGTGAGGAAAATCGTGTAAAGTGCCTTTCCCAAGGGCACAAGATCGGTGACAAGGTGGGGTTCGAACCCACGACCTCTGGGGTGTGAGCCGAACGCGCTACCGACTGCGCCACACGACCCCACTTTTTTTAAGTATCGTTCACATATCTAATAGTATTAGTGTTGGAACCCAAACTTCTAAATTGGTTCAATGAATGATAAAGTATCAGTCAAATTTGTGGATTCTGAAAGCTCATAAAAAATCATTCAAAACTCCAAGTGGGTATTTCATCAGTATGATACCAAAATGAACGTTAACACTAGTTATGTTAATGTTCCGACAACTCAACCTACATGTATGTTCCGACAACCCAAACATAACAGAGAGATGCATATCTACATGTCACTTCAAACCTTTTTTTAACCTTCTTCCTGCTGCCTAACCCCGTAACCAAGAGAGAATTGGTAGACAAACTGCTACTTTGAAGTGCTAAAACTATCTAACGATAGATGCCCATACCTTAGTTGATGACAACAGGTTCAATCTGACAAAACTTCATGGCAACAACAACTTTTTAACTGCCTGGATTCTGTGTTCACAATGCTCAAACTTGAAGAGCAGCATTTGCATAAATCTATATCCACAAGAGCTATGTTTGTTTGAAGTATACATGACTAAAAGTCTAAAGCCGATAACATTAAAGAAACAATGCACGGTTGCTGATATCTTCCACGCATACGCATAACACAATATTTGTCTTTTTACCTGAGTCATGACTGTAATCATAATATAAAATCGTTGCTCTTCAATATTTGCACAGTGGCATTTATCAAATAAGTCTTCAACTTTCATCCCATATTTCCTTCATAAGATAAGGTAATGCTTACATGTAGCTATATATAAGCTTATCTTACACTGTATCATCATAAAGTGTGAAATCAAGACTTTATTGCAACTTTGAGTAATATTGGCTCACGTTAATGGCACACTTATACAATGATTTATTACACTTTTTATCGGTAGAATGAAGCTATTTTGGCTTTGTCTATATGGTCGGTTTCTAATAAGTAATATGCAAATCAATAGTCAGTTGATAAGGCTGCGCAAAGTAAATTTTGTGGTTAACATTATCTGTGGCCATTTTTACAGATAAGATATACATATTACATAACATATGTGAGTGAGTGAGTGAGTGAGTGAGTGAGTGAGTGAGTGAGTGAGTGAGTGAGTGAATGAGTGAGTGAGTGAGTGAGTGAGTGAGTGAGTGAGTGAGTGAGTGAGTAGATGAGTGAATGAGTAGTTGAGTAAATGAGTAGGTGAGTGAAAGGAGTGAGTAAATGAGTGAGTAGGTGAGTAAAAGTGAGTGTGAGTGAGTGAGTCAGTCAGTGAGTGAGTCAGTCAGTGAGTCAGTTAGTGAGTCAGTCAGTCAGTCAGTCATTGTGACTACTACATGTGCTACTATCATTGTTACTTTTAGCAGGATGCATACTTGCTGCAAACTATTTTCAGACATTCTTTTACCACCTGGAGAAAGAAACTAAAGTCCACCTGCTTTATCTACAACAGTTCTCCCTTTGTCTACCTAATACGTCATCTATTGGCCCAGTTGGCAAGATAGCTCCATCAACCAAAACTTTGTTCCAGACCATGAAACTTTCCAGATTTTATCTGCCCGAGCACTTTGCACATATGACATTATCGCAAATAAAGCAAACACTTAACATACCATGCAATGCTAATATTGACCTTTTTTGGGCTTTTTTAATTACATATTATGGATAGCATCAGTACCTTTATTTGGTATACTGTAAATCACAATTTTTTTGCAGTACTTTTATATTTGCAGTGACTGCGACCACTTCTGTACTGCAAAATTATCAATATCCATTTTCGGTATGTTGACTTGACCACTGTCAGAGGGCAACAAAATTTCTTGTTTCTACTTCCAAAATCAGGCGAAAATTAATGCACGCACTGATGTCATCCATAAAAATTACTTGCTGTGGCTTAACAAACTTTCCAACAAATGCCATTATCCAAATCCAGTTTTCTGCTTAGCGGGTTTAAGTTTTTACTTGGGATTTGCAAGACTACAATTTGTAGTTTTACAGAAGTGAAAAACTGTGAATGATGATATATTTCTATGGGCAAGGCCTACTGACACAAGAAGTATAAAATCATCCATACATAACTTCTGAGTCGTCTTGTTCAAAACACAGCTAAACACGTTTTCCTGTTAGGCAAACATGCCATTCATGAAATGATTTATACAGTCTGACCTTCCTTGTTGCTTGCTGTGTCTGTTCGCCAATATGATTCCTGTCGTTCCCTGCCAACCCTATACAAACATCGCTCCAGACTCATAAGTCAGAACACAGGACCCATTGTTTATTGAACAGGTACTTATCAGGGCAACCTTCATCACACACATCAGGCAAAATTACCCCTTTCGCTGTCCAATTTCACACTGACACAAGGCTCAGGTGATTTGAGGTCAATTTTCCTATTCTCTCAATCTCTGGACCACAATGTTCCCATAGTGTTGCTAAATCTAACTTTAAGGCAACTGATTTGTACTGTTGTCTACCTTAAGTTTGTATTGTTAACTCAATCAGTGAAGCTATTGTTAATATGCATATCTGTATCTTTATCTGACATTTTGCTGCATACTTTTTCAAGCATAAATATTGTTACTCAAGAAGGTATGTAAGGCTAACATATTTGACCTATCCCAAGGTCTTGGGATGACGAATGTCAAAGGTAAAATTGACCGCATGGTCTTAATTGTTTTTTGTGGCAGATGAAGGTGTCGCAATACAGTATGGGTAAAGGAGTGAAGTCTGCCAAGTCTAATATTGTCTTATCGAATATCAACACCTCAAAATCTGCACCAGATGGCAAATCTTAATCCTGCAAGTTTGTTCTGAAAGTGTAAAATGAGAAAACCACTAATACAACCACAGTTAAACCTAATTACATTACATGCTGATGGTTTGATATGTACTGCCCAAGGGGTTTCCCATTCCTTGCTCCTCATTCTGTGTTCTGATTGGTGGAAATGCTAATTGCTTCAATTCCAACGACAATAAGAATATGCAACATGAGTGAGTTGGGCATGATAAGCATATCTAATCTGCTCAAACAGGTTCTCTTTCAATGACTGCTGAGTTCACCTCTGATGGAGGTACTGTGTTCACACCTGTAACTCATGATCTTCTTGATAGACCTGTTTGATTTT